ATTAATTAAATATAAATCTAAAAAGATAGGGCTTTTGTTTGTATGCTGCTTTTAGTTGGGGTAGGTTTTTAAATAAAAATATTAAGGAAGGAAACATATCAAAAAACTTCGATCGAGGGGGACCAAAAATGTCCGACTTAAATTCCGGTTTATCAGTGCCGTACTAATTTTATTCAAAACGTGTAAAAATATGATGTAGGATGGACTCAATAATTTGTTGTTTTATTTCGCATTGTCAATAAATGTTGGTAGTTATTAAACTTATTGTTATAAAAATATATAATTCTAATAAAAATAGATAAATTATAATAATTTTTAATAACACAAACATTCAATACGCTACTGAAGCAGGTAAGTCAAATTGACGTATCTAAATTCTTTGACTCTAATCTTAAAGTAGTAAATAAAAGCAAAAATGCAAGAAAAAATATATAATTGGTTAATTGTAAGTGAATTTCATAAACGATCGGTTTACTACACTTATAGTCATTTACTAGTGAAAAGTAATCCCATTATTTCCCTCGATTCCTGACCGAGATCTACCGCACGCTACACAAACAACTATTTTACAGTTTTTTTTTTTTGATAAATCGCAATAATGTCACTGTTAAAGTTCTGTCACAATTTCTTTTTAGATTTACTACTATTTTCTTTTCTAGAATTACTACCTCTTAACAATTATCAGTTGTAAAATAAATAATAAATAACATAAAATAAGCTCAGTAAAGACTGACAAATCTACAAAATTTCAAATCAAATTAAAATGTGTCAAATGACACGTCAAACAGAACTGCCAAGGGCCCAACCTCCGTCTACTATGCATAAAAACATGGATAACATTATACTTCTTCCTTAATCAAAATATATAAATCCTTCGTTAATAAATTTATTCAAAGGGATAGGTACAGAATTTGGATTAAATATACTAAAATATAAAACACTCCACAGTCATAGTTTTCATTTTTTTTCTGAGATATATTAAATACTGTTTTAATGCTATACCGTATGATAAAAAAACGGCGTTAAAGATGGCTGGGGAACGACAATCGATAATGATTTTGGCGAGGTCAATCTCTAGACGTCAATTGTTACAAATTGATATAAAAGTTGTCAAAAATTAAAACTAATAAAATTATTGAAAGAATAGAACGTTTTCAAACACTCAATTCTTTTTCTAAAACATATTTTCTCTCGCATTTTAAACTACATCAGTTAAAAGTAATTTTTAGCCAAATAAAAATAAATTGCTTTCTTAACTTTCCAAAAAAACTTTCTTAACGCTAACTGGCAGTAAGTACTATTAAAAAATAAAGAAGAGTACTGGTCAAGTAAATCACATCTAGAGCTTAACCAAAATTGGCCGTCCTTTGGTGCCGATTTTTCTGGATAGTATGGTATTTATTAATAAACGGTGAATCATATACTGTAGAATTATGTTCAATTTATTCATATGGTATTTTGTGCTGATAGCTTTAAGTCATAATGCACAATAACAAACTACCAACCATTAAATTTAAACAAACATACCGTATAGTCTGTGAAACGAATAACTTTGAATTTGACAGTTCCCGCGGGCTTTTCTAGTATTAATTTTATTAGGTTAGCAACTTGCGGCCATGCTGACGCAATGCTAATAGAACAGCCGAAATAAAATGACAGCGATTTTTATTTCATAGCTATCGCTGACGCCTTTTTTCTATGATATTGTATTATTTGCAAACATAATTTTTCGAATATTGATACTTGCAAAATATACATATAAATTTTGTGAATGCAAATAATAATACACCACTATTAGTAGATATTGAATGATTTTTGTTAAATTAGATCGATTTTCAAACCCCAAAATATAAAATATATTTTATATTTTACTCATTATCTTATGTACCTATTCATTATTTATATACTGTAAAACATTTGCTGCATTTGTATGATTCATAGTTTATTTGCCAAAGTATTTATTACTATAAATAGGTACATATATATTGTAGTTATTAACTGTATATAATGTATATTTCATGTAAACTATATAATTTTTAAAATACAAACCAAAAGTACGAAGTATAATTATTTTTTCCATGTATTCTACAACATATTTATTAATCCGTAGTATCTAACCTTTGAATAAGAAGACTAAGGAAGAAGCATATTAAAAATCTACACCGCGATGGGCCTCAAATATGTCCGACTTAAATTTCGGTTTATCAGTGTCGTTCTAATTTTATTTAAAAAATGTAAAACTATGGTGTAGGGTAGACGTGGGGTAGACTCAATAATTTGTTGTTTTATTTTACGTTGTGAATAAATGTTAGTAGTTATTAAAATTGTTATAAAAATATATAATTCTAATAAAAATAGATAAGTTATAATAAGTATTAATTAACACAAACATCCGATACGCTACTGAAGCAGGTAAGTGAAATTAACGTATCTAAGTTCTTTGACATCTAATCTTTGACAAATAATAAATAAAAGCTAAAATGCAAGAAAAACATATAATTTAGTTAATTTAAGTGAATTTCATAAATGATCGGTTTACTATACGTATGTATATTATATAGTCACTTACTAGCGAAAAGTTGTTCCATTATTTCACTCAATTTTTGCCGAGATCTACCGCACGCTACACAACCAACTATTTTAGAGTCTTTTTCGATAAATCGCGATAGTGTCACTGTTAATTTAAGTTTTGCCACAATTTCCATCTAGATTTACTACCTTTATACAACTATCAGTAGTAGAATAAATAATAAATAACATAAAATAAGCTCCGTAAAGACGGACAAATCCACAAAATTTCAAATTAAATTCAAATGTGTCAAATGAATCGTCAAACAGAACTGTCAAGGATCCCCTTGGTCCTCCTTCCTTAGTCTTCTTATTCAAAGTATCTAACTAACGTGACGTCATAAATCTCGCTCCGAGGCTGTTCTATTAGAGACGGCATTGGTCTGATATTTAGAAATGTCAAAAGCTGATGACATTTTACTTTTGACAATGAGAGAACTGTAACTTGTTTTATTATTCTCCTTTTCTATTTCACGAAAATAAAAAGAGTATCCCGGCTAACCTATCTGATTCGTTCAGGCACTCAATCTAAAGAATATCAGTTACTTTTTTTGACAGAGGGATTTTATATTTGCCATTTTGGTAAAAAATAACGGTCAAAATTCAAAGTTATTTATTTTATTATAGTCTATAAAATAATCGATCTTATTGTTTGTTGCCGTCTGCCATGCTGGTGCAGCGTATAGAAGTTGGGAATGGATCACACTCATAAGTACGCGTCTTTTTGATGCTCTGGGCCCACCTAGATTGGGCATGAGTCTAGCTAGCGCAGCTGCTGTTCTTTCTGCTTTTTCAATTGCCTTATTGATATGTACAGTAAACGTTAATTTAGAATCAAGCCATACACCAAGATATTTAACAGCATTTTGGGGTTCAATTTGTGTGCCTAATAAATTAAAATGGATTACGTCCATTTTTCTCTTTTTAGTTAATAATACTGCCTCAGTTTTATGGGGTGCCAGTTTTAAATGATTACTTTCCATCCAATTGGCAACTTTTTGAAGAGCAGCGTTTGCTAAATTCCTTAAAGTGGGCTCGTTTTTTGCCACAACAACCAATGCAACGTCATCTGCAAAACCTACTAGACTAGTTTCCCCAGGCATTTTGAGTTCTAATAAATCATCATACAATATATTCCATAAGGTAGGTCCCAGTATTGAACCCTGCGGAACCCCGCTTCTTATTTCTATTACCTTAACTGCGTCTGCCGTTTCTAATATTATGGATCTTTCAGAAAGATATGATGCCAAGATTTCTTGCAGGGATTTAGAGAAGTTTCTTTTCCTTAGCGCGTTTAGGACAAGTTGCCATGACACGCTGTTAAAAGCGTTTTGTACGTCCAGAGTTATGACGGCATAAATTCTTCTGTTTTGCGGAGCAAAAGCGGCAGCTTCCCTGGCAATGCGAATTACTTCCCTTACGGCATCAGTTGTTTGCCGACCCTTCCTAAAACCAAACTGCCTGTTTGATAGTCCACCACTTCTTTCCATTTCTTTATTTAGCCTTCCCAGTATCAGATGCTCATACAATTTGCCTTCGACGTCCAGCAAACCGATGGGCCTGTATGAAGAAACACTGGTGTCTTGAGGATTTCCTTTTGGCAATAGTATTAACTTGGCCTTTTTCCACTCTTTTGGAAATATTGAGGTAGCAGCAAGCTGGTTATAAACTGCCAAGACGTATTATGGGGCCTTTTCCACGACAGCTTTAATTACCTCACCAGGAATATTCCTTGGACCCGGGGCTTTATTCATCTTAATTCGAATACAAGCTTCTTTTAATTCCTTTATACTAAAATTTAAAATCGTATCATCTATACCACAGTTGGGGTTAAATATCACAGTTTTGTGCGATGGAAACAAATGTTGAACCACTTTTTCCATAAAATCTATCGTCAACGTTTGTTTTCGGGGAAAGCCTTTTAAAGTTTTCATGACAATTTTATATCCTGCGCCAAAAATATCCCCGTCTAATTGATCACATAAGGTCTTCCAGCAATTCCTCTTTGCGCTTTTGATTTGATCTCTTAAGTGTTTCTTTGCTTTTTTATAGTCTTCCCAAAGTCTGTTTGTGTCCGTCCATCCGAATCCCAAGTACTCATTTAAGGCTGAGTCGACCTAGGTACCCAAACTATTTTTATTTTAATAAAAATAGTCGGCTGATGAAATGCCGGGTGTAGGATTCAAACCCACTACCTTGAGATTGGAGAGCCTGTACCTCTACGCCACCGGGCACCTCGTAAATATTTTGAAAAACAATATAATAAATATATTGTTTCCCAATTTTACATTAAGATTCGTCTCATAAATCCATCACAATCCGGAGGCGTTGTCGCCATCGCTTGTCATTCCAAATTGATCACGTGCATCGGAAATTGTTTTGCGATTACTATAGCAGACAAATTAAATACTTAATAGATAATTTTGCCGCAGGTGTAACAACCATCTACCACGTCGAATGCTACGACGAGAAGACCAACGAATGGTACGAGGCGACCGACATGAACATATACCGGTCCGCGCTGTCGGCATGCGTTATAGACGCGTTGCCCAACGTTCAAGACTACATACACAAACACAGGGACCGGCTGATGGAGGAGAAGCGGCAGAAAATGATCGCTTTGGAGAACCAGCGGAACATGGCAGGGATTGTTAATAACAATAATAATAACCAACAGGTGAGTAAAGTATCACTATATTGATGGGTAAGCATCAGTCATAAGTTCAGGTCATAAGCATTTCAAATGAAGACAGTAAGCTATTAAGGAAGACACATATCATGTAATAAAAAATGGGGGTAGTACAGGGTGTCCCATTTTCGTGTGTTTTACAGGGTATCTCGGTTATTGGTAGAGACACAAAGATGCGGTTTTCACATCATGCGACTTTTTTATGAAACTAAAGCTGCTACACACAGATTTGTCCTAGTCCTCTTAGTTCCTGAAACACAGGGCGAAATTGAAAATGTTGGATTTTTCCCACCCCCTTCATATCTCGGTTATCTTATAACTACTTATAATCGAAAAGGTGAATACTGAGCCCAGTAGACATTTTTCCGAAGAAGCCAGTGGCGTAACTGGTTTTTCGTTGGGAGCTGTCATTCTCGAAATATAATCTATACTTATGTTGTTTTTTTAAATGGAACAGCCTTTATGTTATTTTTTTATTAAATTTGTTTAGAGCTGATTACTCACCAATTCGATCTCCTTACATTGGAGTTCTGGTAAAGCTGGTATACGCCCCTGCTTGCCTCTCGGTGTTGGACGGTTTTCCATCCTGGCTTTTTACATTTTTATATAAGAAACACACTTAAAGAATCTTTGCATCAAACTTTTTCTTTAAGTTTTAAAATGATGTACTTCTTAAATATCTCTACAGGACGGAGACTAAATAAGTACAACTATTTTCAGGGTTGGTATAGATCACAGATAAAAAAATAACCATCTATTAAGATAGATATGAAATTTAATAGTAAAATTTTGGGTCAAAGCGCCCCTCGGTCTCCTTAGTCAAGACTACGTTTAACCCGGCGCCTTTTCTGCTCTAAATGCTTTTTATATTTGTATTTGTATTCAAAGTATTTATTTTTAAAGTTACTTTGTTATATTAGTATATCAGAGTAAAATTAATCTATACTAATATATAAAATCCTTAAGTGACTGACATACTGATTAATCACGATCCTGCTCAAACCATTCAATGTAAGAAGCTCAATTTTGGCATACAGGTTGATTCTAGGGTGTAGAGATTCGATAAGAAGGGATTTTTCGAAATTCCAGTTCCAAGAGGATGAAACCACCCCTCAAATATTACAATATTTTTTATTTAAAAAACGGTCAAGTTTCCGAAAAAACGCTTAAACACGTATATTTTATTTTGTTTTTTACATATTTTCAGATTTTTTAAAAATGTATACAGGGTGTTTCGAAAAATCTGGTAATTGATTAATCACGATCCTGCTTAAAGCGCTTGACGCAAAAAGCTGATTTTTGGAAAACAGATTGACTTTAGGGGTAGATTGACTTTAGGGTGTAGTCGATACGCAGGGATTTTTCGAAACTCGAATTCTAAGGGGGTGAAACTATCCCTGAAATATTAAAATATTTTTTTATTTAAAAACCGGTGAGTTTTTCGGAAAAACTCTTAAACACGTATATTTTATTTTGTTGTTTTACATATTTTAAGATTTTTATAAATTTATACAGGGTGTTTCATAAAATATGACCATTGAGTAATCACGATTCTGCTTAAACTGCTTGACGTTTAAAGCTGATTTTTGGCAAACGGATTGACTGTGGGGTGTAGAGGTTCGATAAGGAGGGGTTTCTCGAATCTCAAATTCCAAGAGGGTGAAAACTCCCCTCAAATATTACAATATTTGTTATTTAAAAATCGGTTAGTCTTTCGGGAAAACGTATACTTGGACAAGCATAATTTATTTGTTTTTTTTACATATTTTGAAATTTTTTAAAAAATCATACAGGGTGTTCCAAAAAGTTGGGTAATTTCTTAACCACGATACTGCTTAAACTGCTTGACGTAAAAAGCAGAAGAAAGAAAGCGTTATTTTTGGCAAACGGGTTTTTCGACAGTCAAATTCCAACCAGATGAAACTACCCCTCAAATATTACCAAGTTATATAATAATATCGCCATATTGTTTTTTCTCATTCTGACATAAATGTGGGAAAATTTTATCCAGTTTGTATGTTAATGGAAATTCTTGCTTTGCTTTATCATCACCATTACGAATGATTAATTCGACGCGAACGAAGTCGCTGGTACACGCTAGTAAAACATAAAAATAGATAAATTTTACTTTTTAGTTTATTAAGAATAAATTTTGTCTAGAAGCTAGAAATTAAATCACAATATTTCTTATAAAACTTACATAAATAGGTATAATTAATAGAAATATATAAAAACTAGCTAATTCCTATCCACTTCGCTATCCATACGATAACGATATATTTCTTTATATGTAGAATATTTCTTTGGCTAGTTTCTTTAGCTAGCAAAATCTTTAGCTAGCAAATTTAGCTAGCAAAATTTATAAAACGTAATATGTTACAGTAAACACTTCTAATATGAAAAATATTCATGAGAGTGTACTAAGACAATTTAAAAATTTTACCTTTTGATGTTGAAGGTATTTGTATATCCCTAGATGTCAATTATGCTTTCAATTCAAAATAAAACCGGTATTTTTTCGAGGCAGGTCCAAATTTAATAAAATATTTTTTTTTCAAATGTCACAAAAGTATTAATTTTTGCAACGTGATTAAGTTTTATATAACAAAAAAACTCAAAATTTAAGTGAGGATGCTGTCAATAATCAATTGAATTGATCAAGTGATTATTGACTGCATCCTCACTTAAATTTTGAGTTTTTTTTCTTAACTTAGTCAGTCACGACTAACCTGCTATTTTTGTTTTATATAATGTTAATAAAAAATTCAAATGTACGCATTGTTTTCATATTATGGTAATCTAATTTTCTTTTACAGGAGAATATTGTTGCTGCTGTTAATGCTAATATGCAGCAGCTCAATATACTACAGCAGCTAAACGCCAACCTCAACCCAGCACTACCACCAGCTGCACCACCTGTTCAAGCCGCTCCACAGCCGGTTCCAAATCCCCAACCTATGGACGTAGATGACGTTGAAGAAGACAACATCAATAATGTTGAAAACATTCAATAGGAAACGCTCCCTCAAAACAGGTTCATAACATGAACCAAACAGCAGAATATTTTGAGTAACAGCGCAATTTGAAGACGAATTTCATTATTTTTTTGATGAAAAACTCGTCAACGTGTCGTGATAACTCTAAATACAAAATCTTTGAAATGATTTTGTATTGATCAGAATTATTTAATAAAGAGATCCTTGGGCTATTTACAAATGACATTGTTGTAGGAGTATGTATCTAATTTTAACAAATAACATTAAACAGTTATAAAATAGATTTGTTACGCATAATAAATGTAGCAGATGCGGTCTAATTACATTAATTAAATACAATCCGCATTAAATATTACGAAAGAACTGCAATAAAAACGCTGTGCCCTTTGTTACAAGGCAAGTGGATTTTTTAAACAAATTCTCTTTATTAAATAATTCAGATGAGAGAGAAGATTGGACGATAGAGTAAATACGCGAGCGCGCTACCTTGAGACAAAGACTCTAAATTTTCACAGTATTTGTGGTTATTTAATTAGCCTGTGATCCTTTTTATATCTTTATGATTTAGGTATTATTATACTGTTTACGAATATATTTCATCTTTATACATCCAAAAGTGCGTTTTATTTCCTCTTGTTCCTCGTCATATCACATAGATAAATGCAACAAGTTTAGAGTGGAAATTGCCCATAAAACAATAATATACATACTATTTGGTGCTGTTCTTGCAGCGGACGCGATCAAAAGCTTTTCACAATTTCGGAGCGGTTCGGCTTTTTCCAGAATTAGATCGTCAAATATTATTTATTTAAATTTATTATTATTTTCTCTCAATTTTATAAATAAAATAAGGACGTACAGGACATTATATAAGGACGTACAGGGTGCCCCACTTAAGATGGATACAAGCCAATATCTTGATTGTTTGTTGAGCGATCTTTTTCATTTTTGGCAGGAGGCTGTATGGCTATAAGACGTACATTTTGCCCAGGGTAAGAAATGCGATACCTCATAGACGTACGTTTCAATGGAGTTTGATATTTTTCGAGTCAAGAGTAAACTATCCTTAGGACAGTATTTATTTCAAATCTGATAAATTATATTGAATCCTCCTTACCTAAGATACTTGAGTTCTAATTTTGATAAATATTGACACAGGGTGCGTCATTAAAATAAGACATTTTAATTTTTATTATTATTTTTTTAAGTACTTACGACGCCACTGGATAAACAACAGGTTTATTCTCAATAACCAATTATAACCAATTATCAATTAATAATCGATTTAAGTTTACAGATAGCTTCCATAATAATTAAGATACGATACAAAAAAACTAGATATTTTCAATTTATTTTGTTTACTTTAAAAAATTGTTTTTTAAGTTTGCTAATACAAATGAATAAAATAAGTTACAAAATAATTTAAAACCCCAGTTTTCAATGGAATCTGAAATATGATTTTTATTCGTTTCCATTCAGGAATATTTTAAAAAATCCAAATAGTTAGATATTTAAAACAATTATTTACAACTATTAACTTTGAAAAATATGCTCTAAACAAAGATTTATAAAACTATAACGAACTAAAAGTTCATCTAATACAAGATAAAACATCTTCGACCAAACCGCCATAAAAAAACGATTATTAATTGATAATTGGTTATTGATAATAAACCAGTTGTTTATCCAGTGGCGTCGTAAGTACTTAAAAAAATAATAATAATGTAACGTTTTTAGTTCGTTACATGTCTTTTTTATATATAATATATGATGTCTGGGCCTATCATCACCGGATTCCCTCTCGTTCAGGCCTGATAGTTTATTTGACGCGTAATTTTTACGTTCCCTAGTCGCCAACCCTGTTATCGTTCGACACAACCCTGTTATTGCTCTGAGGAGGCGCTGTCGACATCGCTTCTGTCAACTGTCTCCGTGCTTAACCTCACTTTGTTTTGACGCTCTGTTGTATCCCAGCTTTTAGAAATGGTGATTATTTAAATCTTGCTGTATAATTTGAATCAGCTGCTATTTCGAAGCAACAGGTAAAGATGAAATATTATCCTTTTAGATTCGATATTATTATTGAATATTTTTAGGGTAGAGTTACGGATGTCCCAACTTGTATTTGTATTTTGCTGGCATGTTGGCGTCCCTTTTCTTTTGTCCTCCAGAATGTCACATGGAAGAAAGGACATGTTGTTTATTATTTATGGAGCCCTCGGAAGTATTTCGAGGTAGGTTTATTTTGTTTATTAGACCTTGTTTGGTTTTAAACAAGAGTTTCATATTTTTAGGGTCCAAGGTACGGACTGTGTCCAAGGTACGGACTATTTCCAAGGTACGGACTGTGTCCAAGGTACGGACTGTGTCCAAGGTACGGACTGTGTCCAAGGTACGGGTAGTGTCTTATGTACAGACATTATCTTATGTACAGATGTCCTGTGGACGAGTGTCCCCAGTAAGAATGATTTTTTTCTTACATATAAGTGCCACAGCGTGGATGTAGCTTGAGTCCCATGCTGCTTCACTCCCATTTCTAAGCCTAGTCAGTAGCTACGGCTGAAGTGATTCACGGTGTTCTCAATCTGGCCCCTTTTGTTGTTTTGGCCAACAGGATGGCCGACAGACAGTACAGAGATGCGAGACCACCTCACGCTGCTACTGTTTGAAGCAAGATTACATAAAGAACAGCTAAGTGTAGATTTACGTTCTAGTTTTCATGTTTTAGATTTTCTATATTTTCAGTCTTAAACAGTAACGTACATTTTAAATAATATCGTACGGACTATATTTAGTGGTTAGATTATTAAGAACATTTATGTCGATTCAGTAGTTACAATGTGATTTAGATCTTAGGTTTCATTATATTACGCCTTGTAATAGTATTACTTTCTATAGATATTGTTATTGCGCTATATTAACAGATGAATAACGAGACATAGATTCTAGAATCTACAGGTTGTAACATCTTCAATTTAGCATCATATGGAATATATCAAATTAATTAAAGTAATGCTACATTTCATATTTTCTCTTAAACTTTACATGTCCTGTATTTTATCGTGGTTGTTTTCATTGATATTTAGTACGACTCTTACCACCACTTTCTTTGACATATAACTACTATATATTTACTAGAACTCTACAATGTCATGTATCAGCAAAGAACGTCATGAATAAATATAGTCATTAGTTTTAAGTATTATACAACTGTGTTTTCTTTCTCTGTACATGCCTGGCGCCCAATATCTATTTTTTTGTTTATTGTTCTTAATTAGTTTTCTTTCCAGTGAAATACCTTATCCACGACTGCTCTCCGATGAAAAGCTGCCGTTCGCAGTGGTAGTTGTTTAAAAAACGCTACAATAAAAATAAAAATGTCTTATTTTAATGACACACCCTGTATCAAGATTTATCAAAATTAGAACTTAAGTATCTTAGGTAAGGAGGATTCAATATAATTTATCAGATTTGAAATAAATACTCTCCTAAGGGTAGTTTACTCTTGACTCGAAAGATATCAAACCCCATTAAAACGTACGTCTATGAGGTATCGCATTTCTTACCCTGGGCAAAATGTACGTCTTTTAGCCATACAACCTCCTGCCAAAAACGAAAAAGATCGCTCAACAAACAATCAAGATATTGGCTTGTATCCATCTTAAGTGGGACACCCTGTATATGAAATACCTATGGAACATTGGAAACCGATATTATGTCACGATGGTTTTTGTAATTCATAGTCCACACAGCTTTTTAAGTTTTTTTTAATGCTATTTTTTCACACTTCAGAAATGTTATCTCATTTACAACATATCAACTTGATAAAAAATATCAATCAATTAGAGTTATATTTCGTGGTTTTTCTTTTGCAAATAAAATGCAAAAATAAAAAAAAATGAATCAATGCAAACTCGTGCTTTAATCTAAATTTGATGGTTATGCTTAATTTCCATAGTAAAATCGTTTTATTGTTCTGCTAATCTAACATAGAAGGCTGTGAAACACACAAACTTACGTAAACCAAAATAAAAATATTGGTTTACGCCAATTGACAACTTGCCATTTAAGTTTCCTGGATTTCGCTGGTATACAACAATTCATTGCCGATCATGTGCCTTGAACATTACATTTTCGTATTAATGACCCTGATACATAAACATCTATTATCTATATTTTTAGTACGTGTTTGAATTTAAAAAAAAAAACATATCCAATATCCTACATATTTATACACAGGCAGTTTTCAAAGAAGATTTATAGATATAAAAAATAGCTAACAACATATTTACAACATGTAAATACGAATTTGTATATTTAGAATACCTACGGCATTATATACGTAAAAAAAGTTACTTCAAAATACAGAATTAGTTCGTTCAAAATATTCGTCCAATTGATACTTTTGCATCAATACAGGTATTTTATGCTCCTCAAAGGAAAATGAATTTTTTGCCATAAAATTATAATAAAAATGTTATAAGAAATATAACAAAAATAAAACATGACAATAGAAAACCTTAAAATAAACAAACATTGTTATAAAATTGATATAAATATCAGATACATACGTACGTTATGCATCAACTAGAACACAAAATGAAGGTTTTAATCTATCTAGTTTACGAAATTATCCTAATGTAAAAAGTTATAGGAAAGTTGGAGCGTATACGCACATGGCGACATGGCCAAATTAGATAATATGAATAATTTTGTTATGAAACTGAGAACTACTCGTAAATAGCTAATTTCTATATTGAATATGTAGTATATACGGCGAAATTGAATATGTAGTATATACGGCGAAGTATGTGCCAGAATGTATATCAGGAAAATATTTTAACTTCTATAGGGTGGCTCAAAAAAGTGTTAGTGGACCTGGATGATTTTTTTTAAATGGAACACCCTGTATATTATTGCATTTTTGGCTTCCTTTCAGATCACTTTACATAACCCTAAGATATGAATATGATAGTTTCGATAGCTCTCAGAGACAGTTGTAACAAACCAAAATATATATTTTTCAGCCCCTCTTAAAAAATTACTTTAAAATACAAAACTGTTCTGAAATCAAACTATTTTAGGTATTTGTTTTTAGATGGTTCGTACTTCATTTTATGCTATAATAGGAATCAATCATACAGGATGTTCGTACTTATTCAAACTTTCTAAAATATAAAATAATTTTTTTCTTTTTCGTTTTAAATGGAACACTTCTGTATATTATTTTTTCAATAGACGAAGAATTAAAAAATGAACATTTTTTGTATTTAGAGTGTTTCAAAATTTTTAACGGTTTCGCAGATATTTGCGGTTTTATATTTCATATGGTATTTTCCACAGTAAATTTTTATCGAAGCCACCCAATGATTTTTCTCTCGTATTTTAACATTGAAAGCGCCATATGAAATAACACTGCGTGTATCTACGAAACCGTTAAAAATTTTGATATACTCTAAATACAAAAAATGTTCATTTTTTAACTCTCCATCTAATAAAAGAATAATATACAGGGTGTTCCATTTAAAAAAAAAAAGAAAAAATATTTTATATTTTAGAAAGTTTGGCGTAGAATATTGAACATCCTGTATGATTTACGATTACCATAT